CGATCAATCCAGACATGTCTCAGATACGGATCCAGAACTGAATTCTTTAAAACAAAATGGCCGCCAGTCGGCCATTTCAAGCCCGATCCCCCCAAAAAAATGAAGTGCATCAAGGTCCTATTATGTTTAATGTATGTACCAAATTTGAACAAAATCCGTCTATGCATAACTGAGATCCGGGTCCGGAATGGTGAAAAAATGCGATTTTGATGCATTTTCGGCCTTAAAATGGCCACTATTCGGCTATCGTTAATCGGATCATGAAAAAAATGCATGTGCATATGTCCCATATAATGTGTGATCTATGAGTGAAGTTTGAACTTAATCGGTCCATGCATGTTCGAGATACAGGTGATCACGGACGCACGGATACACGGACGCACACAGGGCAAAACATAAGTCCCCGTTTTCGGACTACGTTCGAACGGGGACTAATAATGGTAGCAAATAGGTGTCAACGCGATCTGTGATCCTTCTGTGACCACCCGTTTTTACTGACTACAATTATAATTCTATGATTCTTTAATCGCAGACCATGGGTTCATACTAATTTTACTGAAACAAAAAATAATTTTCACATGGTATGTGGAGTGTGCTGGCTGGTCATGGTCGTTTATTAAATTATTGTGCTGTCACGTTTCCTGTGCAGTGTGAAGAGCAAAGATCGATTCTATGTGAATGACTGAACAATCTTTTTGATATAAACACTTGAATGAATAATAAACAAGCAGCCTATCGGCTGAGATAGCTCCGCTGTTAGCAATGCACATTTCAATTAAAGAAGTGAAGACATCATTAGAAAATGAACAATATGAATAGTATCAAAGCAATCGGACTTACAGTTTTTAACAAGAAGTCGAAAATATCACTTTTTATCAAAAATTACAAAAATATTCACCAAAATAAATTAATTAGAGAATTGAAGATATCATCACAAAACGAACAAATCTGAGAGAGGTCCACATGTAGTACCTATATATGTAATATCAAAGCAATCGGACTTACAGTTTTCAACAAGAAGTCAAAAATATCACTTTTTACCAAAAATGACAAAAAATATTCACCAAAATTAGAGAATTGAAGATATCATCACGAAATAAACAAATCTGAGAGAGGTCCACATGTAGTACCTATATATGTAGTATCAAAGCAATTGGACTTGCGGTTTTTAACAAGAAGTCGAAAATATCACTTTTCACCAAAAAATGACAAAAATATTCACCAAAATTAGAGAATTAAAGATATCATTACAAAATGAACAAATCTGAGAGAGGTCCACATGTAGTACCTATATATGTAATATCAAAGCAATTGCACTTGCGGTTTTTAACAAGAAGTCGAAAATATCAGTTTTTACCAAAAATGACAAAAATATTCACCAAAATTAGAGAATTAAAGATATCATCACAAAATGAACAAATCTGAGAGAGGTCTACCCAAGGTACATATACACCAAGTATCAAAGCATTTAGGCTTGTAGTTTTCAAGAAGAAGTCGAAAAAGTAAAACGTTGACACGGACGACGGACGACGACGACGACGACGACGGATGACGACGACGGACAATCACTCATATGATAAGCTCCGCTCGACAAAGTCGACAGCGGAGCTAACAAAAAGCACTACATGGAAATAGTAGTTAAAGCTGCTTTTATTTGCGACCTTCGCAATGTAATCCGCGTACACTGACCGACTGTAATGTTGAGTACCGGGCGGCGTGCGCCGGTTGACACCTAGACTAGATCGCGTTGACACCTATTTGCTACCATTATTTTTATATATGAATCGCCCCTAAAGTAAAAGCCTCAACAGCATGCCAATCTTAACCAACCATGTACACATCATTTCCTAATCATTGATTCTGAATTGAATTTATCACAGAAACTATACAACTTGTAGCAGAAAAGATGTGATTCATTCAACATTTGTATTTGTTCAAGTTTTTCTTCTAGATTATATAGAAGAAGCAATAATCACCTAAATCTTGTGATATAGGATATAGATCAGCATTGTTGTCATCATCGATAGTATGTAACACAGCTGATGAACCAGTTCTGGAAACCTCACCAGATAAATCGCCAGATTGACCGGAACTGGCATCATCACCTTCTTGATTACCAATATGTGCTTTTGCAAGCTCTGATGACAGACTTGTTGTGATATGTGATGTAGTAACATGGTTATTTCGGGAATTCACGTCACTTTCAAGTTGTGCAGCCAATCTCTCACTCACATAGACCATTTTTGATAAATTCTCGGAACTGCTGACCTGTGATAGAATCGATGGGTCACATGGTGTCGGAGGAGGAGTTTTAGTTTGATATGAAGTTGACATCTCTCGAATCGCACAATCACTGTTCGTTCTTGCAAATGGTAGTTGTGTAGTTTGAGTATTAGTCACATCAAAACCTTGTGTAGTTGAATGTGTAGCAGCAATCACAGTGCTAATACCTTCATCAATGTTCCTAGTTTTGTCATCAACAGATCCGGTATCTGAACCCAAAGATACCGAGTAGGAATTACCATATGATCGTGATGTACTGCCATCAAATGACACGATTGAAATCGACCCCTTCTTTTTCTTTTTCTTCTTTTCTCTTTTTTTCTCTTTTGAAGCCTCTGTAAAATACAGAAAATCAAAGTTCTAAATTATTAGAAAAACTTTTTCACTTTTCATAAAAAACCTTGAGATATCACCTTGCTCTAAACTTGTCTTGTATGGATGCTTAGATGCAGAGTTCACATTGATAATATAAACAAATTTTGAGAAAGTAGAAGTGAGGCTGTCATTTTGGTAGGATCTGCAGATACTGGCAATTTAGATTCACAAAACCTGTCATCCCTTGATTCAAAACCCTCAATATGCCTAGATTCAAAACCTGTTATACTACGATTCAAAACCTGTCATGCCTTGATTCAAAACCCCAATATGCCCAGATTGAAAACCTGTCATGCCTTGATTCAAAACCCCAATATGCCCAATTTCAAAATCTCTGTCATGCCGAGATTCAAAACCTGTCATGCCTTGATTCAAAACCCCAATATGCCTAGATTCAAAACCTCTGTCATGCCTTGATTCAAAACCCCAATATGCTTAGATTCAAAACCTGTCATGCCTTGATTCAAAACCTGTCATGCCTTGATTCAAAACCCCCAATATGCCTAGATTCAAATACCTCTGTATTGCCTTGATTCAAAACCTGTCAAGCCCAAGATTCAAAACCTGTCAAGCCCAAGATTCAAAATCTCTGTCACACTTCGATTCAAAACTTGTCACGCCTTGATTCAAAACTTGTCATGCCTTGATTCAAAACTTGTCACGCCTTGATTCAAAACCTGTCATGCCTTGATTCAAAACCTCTGTCACATATTGATTCAAAACCTCTGTCATGCCTTGATTCAAAACTCTTTCAGGTCTTGATTCAAAACCTGTCATGCCTGGATGCAAACTCTTTCAGCCTTGATTCAAACCTCTGTCACGCCTTAATTCAAAAATCTTACCATTAATTAACACATCCCCGGGATAGACTGGTTGTGGTTCATCCATGACACGACTCGCATAACGACTCTGATGTGATGGTGAACCGTGTGCAGAAGACGACTGCAAAATAATAAAACAATGTTCATTACATCCATAGCAATGATCGATCCAATAACAACATGAATGCTCACACTGTATAGTGAGATATTAATTAACACATTGATTGCGAAAGTCACAGTTCACAAAATAATCCTGCATACTGGTATTATTTTAAGTATTAAGATTGTTCATCAAAACTTATAGCCAACATAATAACTTATTGGTTAAAACAAAATTACCGAAAAATACATATAAAGTGTGCAAAATGTGTTTCTTGCAAACATTTTCTTAGCACAAACTAACGTTTTTGATGTCATCGCCCATGCTAAGGAGTTGTGCGAGAACGCAACTAATGAAATAGTAAAAGTTTGTAATCGAGTAAATACATGTATTGACATTTCAAAAACAGGTTAATTATCCACTTGCTTTGTGATTTTTCTGACAAAAATGAAACAAAATTGAAGATTACTCAATGTGAAGTGAACTATATTTAAATCTGCTTTAGAAGATGCACTAAACAAATAGAAAGAATATAATTTATGATGCAAAAAAAAATCAGAATCGTGAGTTCTTAACAATACAATGTATATCAGATAAAAGTTGAATGAATAAAAACAATATTTTACATATTATTTTATACCGTGATCCTTTTTGCACCCACATTTTGTGTATGTAAACATGTTTTTTAAAAAGCCAAGTCAAGTAGACACATAAACTGATGACAATTTTATTGTTAAGAGTTTATTGCATTTATTTTTATTAATCTTGGTTTTTCATGTATTTTTAGTATAAATAATTATAAATACACCAAATATATGGCAAAACATTGTAAATTGAAAATTGTACTTGCTGTATGCAACAATTTTGTTATGTTTACATCTAAAAGAAACGGTGATTTGTTTGGTCACATGAATTTCATGCTTATTGTAAAACAAGGCAAGTGAGACATCTGGGAACAAATCAAAATATCATTTAAGCATATTTTCAGATTAGATTTATTAAACAATTTAAAGTAATTCTTTAATGGACGAGTATTTTTAACCTGGAAGTATGAATAGATTTTATCGTTTTGAGCTGTGCGTATATACACAAGATAGATACATACCTGCCTACCACCATTAAGTTCGTTTTGAGCTGTGCGTATATACACAAGATAGAAACATACCTGCCTACCACCATTAAGTTCGTTTTGAGCTGTGCGTATATACACAAGATAGATACATACCTGCCTACCACCATTAAGTTCTTCGTTATCTATGTTAATAGCAAAGAGAATAGAACCAAGTCCAGCAGCCATCATCGGTAACATACTAGACCTTTCATCGTCCCAAAGAAATGACCAGTCTTCATAATACTGTCTATAAGAGAAAAAGCATATTTTGGAGATGACATAACCTGTGCAATTGGCCAGTGTTGCTGGTCTGTCTCCCCAATCTGTGTATATAATCACAGATTGTCTAATCTTTGATAAAATGTCACAGCATCCCTTCATCTTAAAATTTAGTAAACAGAAATTGAACTTTGACCTTAGGGTTCAAGGACAGTCATAAATTGAGCATGTAGTTCATTTTGTTGTATCAGTTTTATAAGCCTATTCGTAATATAATTCTAATGTACATTTGGTTTCATGAAAATATATTTTCTGCTTCAAATTCATCAAATAACCCTAATAATAGCAGTAGGCATTTTATGGTACTGGCTCTCCCCACAGGATGACCAGGCTGATTGCCATACCCGAGAGACTTGCCTCTTGCTTCCACAATGTCACATCGACTGCACTATTTCTGACCACTGCCAGGTGACAAGCTTAAATCTCGCTGCACCACAGTAACATATCTTCAACTTGCTGGTTTAGCCCTGGGATCTTGTCCCCCATGGTTTATGACTATAAATTACTACCGATGAGTTGTCACAGCCGACTAGCATTTTCTTGTTCTGAACCTCTATCAGGAAATGGACTAGTGTTTGCTTGAGTACTAACATCTCAAGTATGTTTATGTGACATTTCACCCAATTGTACATGAGATGGGCTCCGTAGCCTACTTCCAAAGCGTCCATGACCAGGGTTACAGATGGAGGTGATGAATCGATCATAAGTTTACCAAATCCGTCCACCACTTGAGGCTTAGGCTTTACTGGGTACATGCTATATGGGACCAAAAAGGTGACCTTTTACATGGTGCTTGTAATATTAGCGGAGGGACGCTTGGGGAACAATTCCCCACATGCAAGAAGTCATTCCCACAAAACTCGTACGAGTTCTCAACATCACTGTTGCTCTAAATTGTAGCATGCAGGTCAGATCTCTGAACTTGATGCACCTTGCTAGTGACCGTTTTACAAAGCCTTGCTGCATGTTGAATTCCATTATGAAATGAACATAAATCAAAATAACAATTCTGTGCATACTAAAGGTATTTTTCAAAACAAAATGTTACTTACTTAATAATTGTTCTATCTGCTAATATCATATGTATGTATCTCTCTAGCGAATGTTCATTGAGCGCTGAGCGCAACCATGCTCTACCACGGCCTGTATCTGTATTGATTTCTTTTAGAGTCATGTATCTTTCAAGTTCATGTTTATTGAGATGTTCTTTTATTAGAAGCCAGAAATCTGAAGAAAAAACATAATTACTGATAAAATAATCATTAAAAATTTGAATATTATAATCAGCTGAGAAGAATAATAGACAGGAATAGAGTATTACCACAATGGCAGATTGGTTTAGAATGTCAACAGAAAAAATACTGGTTAACAATCACTACATGAACTTTGTACATGTTTTATTTTTATATGATAATTTTATTGACAATCTATATGATCAAACAGTAAATAATTCAAAGGAGCTTAGAAAATACATACAATTTCATAAACTGATCTCATTCATAATTGATCATACTTTACAACTAAAAAATAAACTGGTTTTAAGCAAATTTGACATTGCAGGGATATTCATTAGATTTAAAAATTAGTAGTTTGTCAAGACAGTTATTCATTCTATAGTGAACTACCCCCGGTACATGCATATACTATAGCTACGAATAAAAAAAAAAGCAAAAATAAAACCCAGCTAATAATCAATTTAAGCCTTATACATATATTTTTACTGCAGAATGAGGTCAGCTCATTTGTAACAATGTCAGTCAGGTGACACATCCCTTTCCAGATTTATAAATATATTGGAAAATTGAAAGGTTTCAAATACTTAGCCTCAGTCCAATAAAGACAAGTTTTAAGGACTAGATTTTATAAGAATCTGGGCATCTTATCATTGATGTTTCTTATAAAGGTCAAGTTTTCTTTGTACAATAGTCACTTACTATACAAGTGTTCTAAGCATGTACTTCAACTAGACTTTTGTACTATTGAAAAGGTCCCCAATTCCTAAAAACACCCACTTTCTTAATCGTCAGAATGAATACTTTCCAAAATAAATTTCCCCATTAAATCCTTGAAGTTATTATTCACATAATATAAACCATTAGCCAATGGGAATTACATCAATTTTGTTCCAAAAAACATAGTTAAATTACATATGGCTTGCCCTGTATATGTAAGGGCGGGCAGATTACAGCATAAGATGGGAAGATAGACTACAAAAAAATAGAAAAGATCACCGCATATGAATATGAAATATGAAGGTTATGACTTTTTAAAGAAACAATTTAGGGCCAGGTATCCCTGTTTTGTAGACAAAGTGTGAGTTTGTATTTCAGTGCAGTCTACTATAATTTGTTTTTATTGGGAAATAATTGTTTTCATTGATTTCGGTACAAGATATAACACAAGTCGACAAAGCAACAAGATGCAGCAACGATATTTTGTGAAATCTACGTAAATGCAATCATGGAGACAGTATTACTATTACCTGATTCAGGGAAAAAGTCACCGACACATACATGTATTTGAACTTCTGACCTCTGATTTTACAGGGATTCAAAATTCAATGTACAAGTTTTTATTTTATTCTGTTCATCTATAGTTAGAATATTTGTTTTTATTCAGATCATAGCCAAATAATACATCTCAAATGCATTCATTATTTTATTTGGAGTAAAACAATGGATTTTTCAATCAGTCCAGTCTGCTGGCAAAAACGAGGCACCTTGCTGAACAGCTCATGATTTTTTTGCATAAATTTGCATATTCTGCAGAGTTCCTCTGAGCATTATGTACAGCACCATACATGTATGTGTTGAAGTTAACGATGCTGTTAATTTAATTTGAATGAGTCAAACCTTATAATCACAAAGTCAACACTTTATTTATCATGAACTTCAACAACATTTTCCAATCAACCTGATTAGATTAGTCAAATAGCAAGAAATAATGACTGCACATCCTTCCCTATTTTACTGAATGGTTTAGCCCTAATTAATACCACAACTGTCCTTTTAATATGGTACAACACAAGAAAAGTTCTAGTAGATATTTGTTATCAAATTCATTAAAAGATTAAACACTGAAGTTAACAACAAATTAATCGGTGTCCTATATTGATAACATTTACAAAAAAGAATGTGATGTAAAAGGAAAATCAATGAAAATGAAAATAAATAAATGGTGATGTTGGACGACGACAACGCATGACAAACATTTTGCTACTACTACATGTATGAATTTCTATTTTAGAAAATAAACAAAATGTTGCAAAACATCATACAAATATCTTTTTAAATTTACACTGAATATGCTTCTAACTACAGTGAATACAATAACTATCATTCAGAATAAACTTAAAATTGTTATATTAAACTGACCTTGTTCATTTTCTGGTTTGATAGCGGGGATATCTGGCAGTGTAATTCCGGTTACTTGTCTGAATCAAGAAAACGAATAATATTAATATTCACATATAAAACACATGTATATATTTTTTTTCTTGTGTGCTACAATACAATTAAAGCAAAGTGTAAAATATTGTAAAACCACCTAACTGTGATTGATCAACAATGATTCACTAAAAATATGAACAACTGTGAATAAAACTGAATGAACGATAAATTAAACAAACAATAGCTGTCTTAAAATAGTGAAGGAAATATATTCTTATGGTAAACAAGATTTATTTAATATAAAACCAGAACAGACCGAAAGCAAAAAGAAACAAAATTCAACATTTTCTCGCCATTTTAATTTGAGGAATTGTGCTAATCCTGTGACCTGGACACTGTTTTTATGGTGATATGGTCAATGCAGTCGCACCATCAAAGAACAGCGGGTAGAATAGGGATAAACAGGAATAATCTGTTTTATCCACAGAAAATAGAATCGTAATTTAATTGACAGAAAAATACAATCTATCTTACAATACGTTTTTTTACTTGGTGTAAAACAAAAGCATGACTTTCATTTGAATCACAAACTTGTATTACTTTAACAGTTCTCAATTTGACTTACTTGAAAACTGAGAACGGTTTGTTAATTTTTTTCATCCCATGTTGAAATACTGTTTCAAACTGCGCACACAGACACGAGACTCTACTGTCGCTATCAGTTGCTAACTCAGTACGTCCACCAAATCGAACTTGGCATTGCTTAACAGCATCTAGTAATCTATCTAAAAGATGTTGTCTCTCATTGGAAAAAATATCATCGCCTGTAGGGAAAAAAAGAACATGATACAACTACATATACCATTTGATATCTCAGCTCAGGAAGGGGAAGCGTTTCCGTAACAAAATAATGGCTTGCTAAGAAGAATCCACCCCCTATATTCCAAATGAATTCAAATCAATCTATTCTTATACAATGTGGGGGTATTAATCACAGCATATGACTATAATTTTTTATCTGTTTTGTTGTTTAACTGCTACTTTATTCTTTTTTTTTATTTTATTTCATCGCTTAACATCCATTGGAATGCATGATAATGAATACATTCACAAAATCATGGCAAAGAGACATGACAAGGCAAAAAAAACACACACACACATACACCCACACACAAACAAATTAACAATAAAAATGACTGAAAATCCAAGAATTTGGAAGATTGTCTAGATTTAAAACATATTAGCAAATATTGGCCAAAAGGAATTGACAGAGACTTATTGCTCAAGATAGTTCTGACCAGGGAGCTGTAATGAGATTACAGCTCCCTGTTCTGACCTCGGAGGGGAATTCCAACATTTAAGTTCTTAAAGTGTTTTTTTCGCATGAAATCTCTGAAAATTTTAACCGATTCGAAAAAGCTCAAATGATCGGTACCCTGGCAATTTGTAATACAAAAATGAATATGATTGATACATAGTTGATACATTACACGTACATTAATGTGTAATTACAATCAATATTAATGTTTAATAATTTAATATTGCTTCATCGCGTTGTTCTAATATGTGTCGAGTCATTGTTGTCTCATAGAATATACGTAAAATTAATGTACATGCTGACAAATCCAAATATATTACGTGATTTAATATAAATTGTTGCACTACGATGTTGACATACAAATGTACATGATTTATGATTATATTAATTGTTGACTTGTCTAAATGTGCAACTTACTCATTTTCTTGTTTTATGTTCGGTGGAACGATCCTGACCAGTGAACCTCTAGTTTCCAATTTCTATAGTTTTACAACACCATGTTACAACTAATATTAGTGACAGGGCACGAACAGAGAGGCGAGCGATGGTCAAATAGCCATTTTGTCTTATTTGCCAGGGTCATGTGATCGCTGCTAGCCTTTTCGGGTCAAGTGACAAATTGACATATGAATAAGAGCACAAATTGTAGATTTATAAACCAAATTAATTTTACAATAAACACACTGATATCACAATAATGTGCGTAGACAGTGCACGACAAATTTATTACATCATGTTTAATGTGAGGGATTAATGTTTTCGCGAACGAGGATAATTTAGTATTTAAAGCGCCCGCTGTCGATATTACATCAGATATTTGACCAAGGTTCGAGATTTCGTTCTTTTCGCTCAAAGTAAGTCGCCATGTTATTGGTACAATTTATGTCGTGCCGAAATTATCGGCCGTCATCGCCGTCGTTGTTAACCCGATTTGGTTGAAATTGCTATTTTTCGATTGTTAAATTAACTATTTTGCCACTGGTGCACGTATTTAACGTGGTTTTCCTGATTTTGTGTTATTATTCCTTCACAGAACCGTCAAGATGGGCCGCCGACCAGCCCGCTGGTAAGTACACACATTTGCGGTAACAGATAACAACCATACGTAACGTACCGCCGCTGCTGTCCGTTCTTTCATTTATAATCAAGTTACTATACTAGGAGCATTATAGTTTCATTTCCATGTCGCTAAATTAAAATAGGCGACACATAACCACCGGTCAATAAATACCATTCATTTAAGTACATCGTTCAATTTGTAAATGATCGAACCAGGCGACGTGGTCAGCTCTGAAACTGTAACAATAATCTTGTAAATCGTTTTATTCATGAAAATCTAGTTAAACAATATTTGTTTTCGTTTGAGTTGTAATTCATCAGTTATAATATTGGTACATATGTAGTAGTTCGTAGAAAATGTTCAGTGTTTACAACTTGAGCTTTTTACTGAAGGGGGGGGGGGGATTGAATGAAGTTAGCCTTCATAGTTTAGAAGTTAGTATGTGCAATGCCATGTTTTCTTTTAGCTACAAAAGTACTTGCCAAAACATTTCAGAAAGTTTACAATTTGAGTGGTTGTCTGACATCAATATCGTCCAGAAAATTTGCAAGTCATTCTTCATCAGCATGTTTTTTGTAATTGTGCAAGTTGTAATTTGTTGAATGATGACTAAAATGAAGAACTGCGACATTTAGTGTGGTAGAACAGGGGTGTTTTGTTTGATATTAGCAGCACCAATGTAGTGTTTTGATGACAATTGGGATATTGCATGGACCTTCAAAGCCAAAAATGGTTGACGTTTAGAAAACATGTCTGCAAATTAGGGCTGGCCATACATTTTTATCGTTGTTTCAATGTAAACACGGCTACACAAAGTTTTCAAAACTGGATATTCAGCAAATCTAAAAAATAAAAAACAAGTCACAAAATGTGTAATTAACAAAAGATGAATTTGAAACATCTATTAGCTCATTAATGATTCAGTGTGTATATACAGGTAATAAATGTGATTTTTGGGTTTATATTCACTTCTATTGATGTGCTTTGAATAGAGCAAATACAGTAATAATCCAGACCACCAAAACATGTGCCTGGAGCCACAAAAATGTGGCTACTTTTGATATATGCTACTACCATTTTGAGTATCTTGCTATTAATAATTTAACTCGAAGCTGAAACTTTACTTGAAGCCCTTGAACATCCTTATAGACCAACAGATTTCAACACCAATTCCCCTAGAACTGTACATTTTTTTTTTTTTTTTTTATTAATAGTGTCTTGTGCAATTTAAAAGTTTATGACAAGGCTGTTCAATACCGTCCAAAACGATTCAACAGAACTTTATAAATGTTATTTCTATGGAAATGGTCTATGAACATCAATTTTATATCTTCTATACATTTATTTTATTTATCTTTCAGTTATCGGTACTGTAAGAACAAACCGTACCCAAAGTCTCGTTTCTGTCGGGGTGTGCCTGGTGAGTTAATATCTAATAGTTTCTGGAATAAATGCAAATTAAATGTCTTTACCTTGGCTACATTCCACTAGTTACCTGATATTTTTGCCACGTAAAATTAGTATTTCTTGGACATATTGGCAAAATTGTTACTGTACCTCTTGTATAACATTGCCACTACTTTTACCTTGTCCAGATTCAAAGATTCGTATATTTGACTTGGGACGGAAGAAAGCACGTGTTGATGAATTTCCACTGTGTATCCACATGGTATCTGACGAGTTTGAACAGCTTTCATCAGAAGCTCTTGAAGCCGGACGCATCTGTGCTAACAAATACATGGTAAAGAACTGTGGTAAAGATGCCTTTCATATCCGAATGAGAGTACATCCTTTCCATGTTGTACGCATCAATAAAATGTTATCGTGTGCTGGTGCTGATAGGTGTGTTGAATTCAGTTTCTTATGAATATATTAATCTTAAATTTGTTACTGTTCTCCCCAAAGCATTTTAGGGTAGCGGGCAATACTGACGGCTGCCTGCAACTTGGAAGATATCCATCTTCGACTGATCTAGTTTTATTAGCTTCTACGATAACAGCAAAGTTGTTCATATAGGTGATTGTCAGTTGTCGTCCATTTGTCAACAAATTACATTTCCATCTTCTTGAAAACCACCAGTCCAATTGCTTTGATACTTGATACAAGTGTACCTTGGATGGACCTCTAGTTACTGCTGTGCATGAGGGGGAACAGTTTACTTAAGGAGTAATTTCTAATGCACATTAACAAAATAGAAGATGTCAGTTAATCAATGCAAGCACTCCTATGAATCAAGATTAGAAAATTGTCTGTTTAGTCTAAAATTATCACAAAGATGCACATAACAGGCAAAATGTTGCATCCACATTTTGGAAGAAAAATTGCACTCAAATATATGCAAGCTGTAAATAAAATGTTACAACAAATCATTTATTTCTTCATCAAAGTAAATAACTTTTGAAAATTAAGATTCACAGGAATCTGTCTCGGCTATTGAAATACAATTATAGAGCTTTTATAAATACTAATTGAAAACTCGCTTCAAAGATGTGAAACTTCTAGATGATTATTTCTGTGAAGAAATAATTATGTATGTAGTGATTCCAATCTTATTCATGGTAATCTTTATAGCAACTCAGTATTTGAATGATCTATGGCAGAGTGCATACTTTGCAGTATCATAATAACTTTATTATACATTTCCTCCCAAGAATACATCATGGGAATGCTGAAATCCATAAAGTTTAGAACAGATTTAGCAGACTTCTTTGTGTGTGAAGTCCAGTCAAACCCTGGGAGCTGCCATGTTTGTTATTATTAGAGGATGCCGATGCGTGTAATTGCTCCATATTTGGAATTTGTACTGCCTTAAATACCCACTGCAATACCACAAAATTACGGCACTGTAACTTATGACGTTATGGTGACAAATGTATAATAATGTGCATTATCTTCAAATTTGGGAATCTAACAAATTTCAATTTTGGTGTAAATAGCAAGTGCAATTTTTAAGATGTGGGATTGTATTGCTGATATTGTGAACAATATCACAATGAAACAACTTGTTAATCAGTTTAATCTACGCTATCAATGGACATGATTGTAAAAATTAATATTCTATTTCAGGCTCCAGACAGGTATGCGTGGTGCATTTGGTAAACCACAAGGAACAGTTGCTCGTGTGAAAATTGGCCAACCAATTATGTCAGTCCGAGCAAAGGATAGTAGTAGATCACATGTTGTTGAGGCTTTAAGGAGAGCAAAATTCAAGTTCCCTGGGCGCCAGAAGGTAATTGCTGACTTTTATTTATTGGGGCAAAGTGTTGTATGCATTCGCATTGCATATGTAATCTTGTGAGTGAGCAGAATACAACAAAATCAAGTTGTGCAAGATGCTTTCAAAATGAGACCATTATAAAATGACATCCCTCTGAAGACAGCAGTTATTTTAACAATCACTCTCAAATGTTTCAAGACAAATTCTGTATTATGTTTTGCCTTTCAGATTATTTTCTCCAAAAAATGGGGATTCACAAAATGGGAGCGTGGAGTGTATGAAAAGATGCGTGAAGAAGGCATACTATTACCAGATGGTGTCACAGCAAAATATATGAAGAATGCGGGTCCATTGAAAGCATGGAAACAACGATTTGCATAAAATGACCTGATTTGTAATTGAAAATGCAGTGCTTATTAAACTGTGACAAAGTACATTCTTGTCAGTAGTCTTTTGTTCCTCCAAATATCTAAGCTTAGTTTAATTGTATATGGTTGCCTCGCCCCATCCTCGTACAGGCTTCTATTGCTGGGATTAGGCCTATACTGCCTTCGTATAGTAATACTATTTGGTTTGTCGTTATCATTCAAGTTTTGGTAGCGGACAGTTTTTGCTCGAAACATCTACGAAGAAAGTAGAGAAGACTTGCTTTTGTTTTAAGTCCTCGTACTTACTGTTCAGTTGAGGTGCTTATGTACTTGGTTCTATTCATCCACATTCTCAGAAGTTCATGGATTAACACCCCCCCCCCCCCCAAATAGCCTAAAAACCTAGATTTAATGCTGATTTAATGCCGATTCTGTTAAAACTTGGAATATGGGTAACACCTGTTGGCATGAGGTGCATTCAGATTTTTTTTTTTTTTAGCTCTGCTGTCGACTTTGTCGAGCGGAGCTTATCATATAAGTGATTGTCCGCGTCAATGTTTTAGTTTTTCGACTTCTTCTTGAAAACTACAAGCCTGAATGCTTTGATACTTGGTGTATATGTACCTTGGGTAGACCTCTCTCAGGTTTGTTCATTTCATGTTGATATCTTCAATTCTCTAATTTTGGTGAATATTTTTGGTAAAAAGTAATATTTTAGACTTCTTGTTAAAAACCACAATTGCTTTGATATTACATGTATAGGTATTACATGTGGACCTCTCAGATTTGTTCATTTTGTAATATATTTAATTCTATAATTTTGGTGAATATTTTTGGTAAAAAGTAATATTTTCGACTTCTTGTTAAAAACTAAGTCGGATTGCTTTGATACTATACATATTGTTCATTTTCTAGTGTCTTCAGTTCTTTAATTGAAATGTGCGGAGCTATCTCAGCCGATAGGCTGCTTGTTTTAATTAGACTGGCTGACCAAATTCAAATGTTTGTTGCGGGACCTGTGATTGGAAAATTATTCCTGTTGGTCAACTGAATAAACACTATCCAATTGGGTTCAAGCTTAATTTAGGTTGTCTGGCTGCTGTAGTCCATATCAATGTCTTTGTTGGATAGATGACCATTTAGAACAACTGCAACTTGATCAAAATGTAGCATATAAATGCAGACATTTCATTTGTAGTGTATTAACAGGGCTGTGATGGAGGCTTCCTCCCTTGTTGACACACAGCTCAAGGAAAGTTATTTACAGCAATTCCAGGCACTGATTTGAAGTAGTGCTAGATGTTGATAACTTACTACAATAGGTTACGCACTTTGTTTTCAAATTTACATGAGTTGTAATTGGAAATATAAACATCAGCTGCAAATCAGAGGAATGATTGACATATTACCCACAATGTTTTCTATTTTTGCTACAAAGTTAGGTACACCTAGACTTTGCAGCACGTCTGTCTTTCAGTCACTTTTGGACAGTCATCGTGTTGATTGCGTGTCTACAAATCGGCATTTGTCCAAGTTGTTTAGAACACCACGATGGAGAAGCAAGGAGTCGAAAAATCAGTTGAAGTGAGAACAAGATCTAGAGTTGTCGATTTGTATTTTCGTGGACTGTCATTTGCTGAGATTGGAGATCGAAATAGTGTTTCAAAGCAGACAGCTTATATCGTCAAACTGTGTGTTACCACCGAAAGTATCCTACCAATCTGCGACTAAAAAACACAACGTTATAGACTGTTGAATATTATGAAACATTGCGACTGCGCATTTACGGATGGGAAATTCGACAAAAACTACTCTCCGGACGTGTGATCGTGTGTTGCAAGTGGTAGGTTTTTTAAAGGGATTATTTGGTGGTACATGTACATCAACCTTGTGGTTCTCATCGACGAGAACTAATAATCGAATAACACCCATTCTACTCATGTATTCAATTTCATTATTGATATAGTGGATGAAGTCTTCATTAGACATTTGTTGCAGGCAGCTTACAGTTATATACATCGGCGTGATACGAATATTTCCATAGTAGGAATAATGCACTTTGATCAATAATTCTGTCATGATCAGTTGGTTCTGTAAAATAACTCTACGGGTAACTAACGCTTTACAGTGCCACCACTTTATGCGCCCTCTCACTGAAATAACATGATGCAAATTGAAGTATGAAATTAAGTTGAGAGCCTCGCTCACTTATTGGAGGAGAAATTCAAAACTAATGTACCGCCACTTTT